GAAAGCACTGTAGGGACACGGCATAAAGCCTCACCTTGTCCTAGTTTCAATTTCATACCAATACCATGAAAAATGACTATTTTACACAGGTTGTTGTGCATGTCTTAGCGTACTTTTTCTAAAACAGCACCACCCCTTGGCGGCAGGCGGCTGCTGCTGCATCACGCCGTAGTTTGACGCAGATGTGTTTTTTTGCTGGTAGATCATGGACTTCCTACTTAAAGCTGGATATCGTTATTTTCAGAATTTTATTGGCTACACGAAGTGCCAGTCATCGGCACAATTGCTTGCGATTGGCTCGGCCTACCCACGAAATAATAGGGGCTGGCCCTTCCTTACAGCGCGGGTGCTCGTTGGCTATTGAAGGCTGTGAAACGGACATGTGAGCTCCTATTGGGTCGGATTTGGTGTCACTCGAAAGGTTAGAGTTCAGAACGTGTTGAACCATGTGAGATTGTGCTATGACTGCCTGGTGAAGATAAAACATTTCTTGAATACAAACTGCAAAGAAAGTGCACAATCCACATAGTCCTCTTTGGTGTAGTGGTATGTAAATTGGGATTTGGACTTAGCGTGATGATTTCCTTGTCAGGCATGTCTTTGTGAAGCCTGGATAGCTCAGTCGGTAGAGCATCAGACTTTTAATCTGAGGGTCCAGGGTTCAAGTCCCTGTTCAGGTGACCAGTTTGTTGCGCCTGCTAGTGTCATTGTTCATGAATGGCACGGTGGTATGTTTGGATGTGCGTGCTACACCCACAAGTCCAAAAGACCCCCTTTACCCTTGTCATTAGCACACTTGCACTGCACATATTTGCATCTGTGCTAGCCTGATCATAAATCTGATTGTAATTCGTAGACCACATGCAAATAAGGGTCGACCCTACCCACGCGACAAGTAGGTGGTAATAGACCTAATGCTGATTGTAAACTGTCAAAAGTGCTGGTAGAGCATCAGACTTTTAATCTGAGGGTTCAAGTCCCTGTTCAGGCGACCAGTTTGTTGCGCCTGCCAGTGTCATTGTTCATGAATGGCAGGGTGGTATGCTTGGATGTGCGTGCTACACCCACAAGTCCAAAAGACCCCCTTTACCCTTGTCATTAGCACACACTGCACATATTTGCATCTGTGCTAGCCTGATCATAAATCTGATTGTAATTCGAAGACCACATGCAAATAAGGGTCGACCCTACCCACTCGACAAGTAGGTGGTAATAGGCCTAATGCTCATTGTAAACTGTCAAAAGTGCCAGAAGAACAGCAACGTCTCCATTTAAGCAGTGTTATTCTAAGCATAACAGTTTAGCTGCCCACAACAAAGGCACCTGGAGGTTTTTAGAAAGTCTTTTAACCTCTTAACATTCCTGTCAAATTCATGTCAAACACCTATTCAAGGCATATCCAAAGTAAATTCAATGCAGTTCTTGAACCGTTTGGAGTGTATGCCTGGTTTTGAGTTTCTCTGAAAGATAACACTCTGGAGTGTCTAACCCAAAGGTCAGATTGATTGTAATTGATTCATATAAGTTTAAAGACACTAAAACTAATATACTTTTCATTTCCGCTTGAAAATGCTTGCTAACAAATGCATGTAGACAACTATAGCTGGGACTTATTATCTGGAAAGCACTGTAGGGACACGGCATAAAGCCTCACCTTGTCCTAGTTTCAATTTCATACCAATACCATGAAAAATGACTATTTTACACAGGTTGTTGTGCATGTCTTAGCGTACTTTTTCTAAAACAGCACCACCCCTTGGCGGCAGGCGGCTGCTGCTGCATCACGCCGTAGTTTGACGCAGATGTGTTTTTTTGCTGGTAGATCATGGACTTCCTACTTAAAGCTGGATATCGTTATTTTCAGAATTTTATTGGCTACACGAAGTGCCAGTCATCGGCACAATTGCTTGCGATTGGCTCGGCCTACCCACGAAATAATAGGGGCTGGCCCTTCCTTACAGCGCGGGTGCTCGTTGGCTATTGAAGGCTGTGAAACGGACATGTGAGCTCCTATTGGGTCGGATTTGGTGTCACTCGAAAGGTTAGAGTTCAGAACGTGTTGAACCATGTGAGATTGTGCTATGACTGCCTGGTGAAGATAAAACATTTCTTGAATACAAACTGCAAAGAAAGTGCACAATCCACATAGTCCTCTTTGGTGTAGTGGTATGTAAATTGGGATTTGGACTTAGCGTGATGATTTCCTTGTCAGGCATGTCTTCGTGAAGCCTGGATAGCTCAGTCGGTAGAGCATCAGGCTTTTAATCTGAGGGTCCAGGGTTCAAGTCCCTGTTCAGGTGACCAGTTTGTTGCGCCTGCCAGTGTCATTGTTCATGAATGGCACGGTGGTATGTTTGGATGTGCGTGCTACACCCACAAGTCCAAAAGACCCCCTTTACCCTTGTCATTAGCACACTTTCACTGCACATATTTGCATCTGTGCTATCCTGATCATAAATCTGATTGTAATTCGAAGACCACATGCAAATAAGGGTCGACCCTACCCACTCGACAAGTAGGTGGTAATAGACCTAATGCTGATTGTAAACTCTCAAAAGTGCTGGTAGAGCATCAGACTTTTAATCTGAGGGTCCAGGGTTCAAGTCCCTGTTCAGGCGACCAGTTTGTTGCGCCTGCCAGTGTCATTGTTCATGAATGGCAGGGTGGTATGCTTGGATGTGCGTGCTACACCCACAAGTCCAAAAGACCCCCTTTACCCTTGTCATTAGCACACACTGCACATATTTGCATCTGTGCTAGCCTGATCATAAATCTGATTGTAATTCGAAGACCACATGCAAATAAGGGTCGACCCTACCCACTCGACAAGTAGGTGGTAATAGGCCTAATGCTCATTGTAAACTGTCAAAAGTGCCAGAAGAACAGCAACGTCTCCATTTAAGCAGTGTTATTCTAAGCATAACAGTTTAGCTGCACCACAACAAAGGCACCTGGAGGTTTTTAGAAAGTCTTTTAACCTCTTAACATTCCTGTCAAATTCATGTCAAACACCTATTCAAGGCATATCCAAAGTAAATTCAATGCAGTTCTTGAACCATTTGGAGTGTATGCCTGGTTTTGAGTTTCTCTGAAAGATAACACTCTGGAGTGTCTAACACAAAGGTCAGAATGATTGTAATTGATTCATATAAGTTTAAAGACACTAAAACTAATATACTTTACATTTCCGCTTGAAAATGCTTGCTAACAAATGCATGTAGACAACTATAGCTGGGACTTATTATCTGGAAAGCACTGTAGGGACACGGCATAAAGCCTCACCTTGTCCTAGTTTCAATTTCATACCAATACCATGAAAAATGACTATTTTACACAGGTTGTTGTGCATGTCTTAGCAGGCGCAACAAACTTTACCAGTTTGTTGCGCCTGCCAGTGTCAGTGTTCATGAATGGAAGCTTGGTTTATTCGGACATGTGTGCTGGGCAGGGAAGTTTGCAGAAAGTCTTGGGTTGTGTCTACTATCTTCATTATTGATAAATGTAAGAATTGAGCTTCTTGACATGAATGTTAAGTAAAAAAGAGTGAAAGACCCTGTTTATCCTTAACACTTTCATTGCACATGGCCACATATTTGTGTGCCTTCTGGACAGATCACAAATATTTCATTTGTGCATGTTTTTAACAACCTGGGCGATTTCTGCCTCTGCTCTAGTACAGTGGAAGTGAGTAGACTTTCAATTGTGGCTCTTAAGGATTAAATCTTATTAGAAAATATGTTAACAAAGAAAAGAACAACACTGTTATCAGGCATCATGACACCCACATCACAGTCTTTATGTAGCTCTACATCATTGCACATAAATATCCATGATTGGAGAATACAACCTAAATAGAAGGCTGAATCAAATACAAAGGAGAAAAAGTTGGATGTGTTAAATTTTCCAACAAATTTAGCATCAATTTTATTCCAAGATATAAATCATCTCTCAATCTGAATATAAGTCAGTCTTTCCATCTCATGGATCTCTTTAATGATTTCAAGCCAATTATCTAGGCGGATCAATATGCAACCATTTACGACTGATTGCCGTTTTCCCTCTCAGGAAGTATCTGTAATTTCCTGTTATTCCTTCTGGCATAATGACAAACACTGCCTACTGCTTACTGTTTTTTTTTTATCATTTAAACTTAATATTGTCATTCTGTTCGGTTAAGTATTTGTCAATATTTGCTTCCCTAATCTCTTTTAAGAAATATTTGTGTAATTTTAAGTTTCTAAAGAAGTCAGTGTTCTCCAACTGTGTTTTTCTCTTGTGTTTAAAAACTCTGTAACGTGTTCCTCTCTAGTTTTGTCTATTTGTCCAGTACAGTTTTGTTTTAATTCAGTATCATATGGTTTCAACTCAACATATAATTTTAAGTGGGGAGAGCCTTGGCAGCCCGGTGGTTACTGTCCAATGTGCATGCCGCATTATAGCAACAAGTGACCTTTGTTGCATATTTAACCCAACAATATGGGTACATGAATATTTGCTCTGCATTAAATGACAACTTCCAAAACATTAAAAACCATAAAAATGCAAAACTCAAGTTTCCTTTTCTACTATACTGTAGTATTACTATATTAAATACATAGTGTGCACATACATATATTTTCTATTCATTACTTTTTGTTCTTTAAACAAAATCATCTAATTTATTTATCAATATTGTTGCTGTTATTTTGTAGTTGTTTTTTCCGCCTCATCCTCATACATACCTAAACCTTCCTCCTGTCACACTTATTTATGCAGATGAATACACAACTCACTTTCACTCATGCACACAAACACATACAAATTTTGAAATATCTATTCATAGATCTCCCACTAACAAAAGCAATTAAAAACCAAATTCATATCATAACTTCTGTCTGTTATGTCTTCTTCTTTTGTTTTGATCCATGTCTGTCTAATAATAGCAATCTATACTTTGTCACAGGTGTTAGTCTGCTTGTTCAGAGCTGAGGATTACTTTATGGCAAGTGTGTGAGACTCACTGAAGACTTCCAGGTGAGCAGTGATGGAGATGTTGGAGTGTTTGACAGAGCAGGTGTACTCTCCGCTGTCATCATGACCAGCATTGGACAGCTCGAGCGTCCCGTTGGTCAGCAGGGAGACACGAGGGTCCGACAGCAGAGGAATCCTGTTCTCACCCTCCCTACAAAGAACACATACACACACACACACACAGATATTGATCCTTACGTACATTAATCAGAGGTGTCCCTCCTGAGTCTTTCAAGGTTTATTACAACATTAGGCGCCCAGAAACGAATACTATAGCAACAGTAAATTCCCGTAACTCCATCAATGGAAGTGTGTTTCCCGGCTCATCAGTGAATGGACGGTAGATGGAAAAAGATCAATAAATGACCAGAGAGAGAGAGAGAGAGAGAGAGAAAGAAACTATTTCAGTTTGCACATTGTGAGCATAATGTTTAAAGCCTGCAAAACAACCTCTCACTGGGGAAAAGCAGACTTTGCATAATACATAATACAGTGTTCTATTAATATGAAAGAGTTGACAGCAAAAAGAAAACTGTTCCAAAATCATAATTTAACATGATATTTCTTCATTTATCTTTTCTATTATGTGTTCTCTGTTATGGTCTAAATGTTAAATTGCTGTCTCTGCCAGGTATGTACATGTTTTAGCTTAAAAACAGTCAATTTTAAAGAAATACCAGAATCAGCCTTTAAAGAACAACATGTGTAATATATGTGCCCTCAGATTCCCAGAAATGTGACCTCAGTGACCTCAGTGGGAGCTACGGCCCTGTACATACAGTGGTGATATGAGCTTTCAGGAAATTGCAAACCAACTGAAATTTGTCAATTAAGTTACACAAGTTTAGCTTTTTTTTTTTTCATAAGAACAATAAACACGGAACCCTGAAGGGGCTGATTGAAGTTGACTGATGTGGCTGCTCCCGGAGTGCTTTTTGTTAATGCAACCACCTGAGGGCGCTGCTCCATTGAGAGAAAATACCTTAGGCTGTATTACATAAACATAGACTTTAAGATAGAGACTCCATTCCAAGGTTTAGGGATTTTAAAGAATTTTAAATATGATCTGATACTTTAGAGATCTCGTTTTACAACTTAAAAGATAAGAAGAACGTCAGAAAGTTTTGAGGGACGGACAAACACCAGATATGCTGACACGTCACCCAGTGCGACAGTGAGGCTCATTGATGTGTTTTTAATAGTTTTTGGACAACAATGGAGCTCTGTGGCTCAGAGGAAGAAGAGAGATCAGACTGTGATACACACACAGAACCTGCTAGTAGATACATGGGATTAGTTAGTGTCCATTAATAAGCCAGTCATTTGACTGTAACAGCAGCAGCAGTCACTTGAGGTTGGATAACCACAGAATGGGCCTTTTCTACAGGCCCAGCAGAGGTGTAAATAATCACATCGATGGCTGCATTGTCTGTTCAGGTGTCCCAGAAGATCATGACAGTCTGACTGAGAGCAGCTAAATTCAACCAACATTCATTTTATTATTTCCACCGGAGTTTTTCCTTCTGTAAAATGTCTTTGGGGAAAAGAAAGTCTCAGATCAGTTATCCAGGTCATAGTTATCAAAGCAAGGTTAAAATCAAGGTCAACTGGTCTTGGTAAACGTAGTATTGCATTTAAAACCTTACTTTGTTAAATGTATGTAACAGCAAAATTTACGTATAGTATGAAAAGTAAAAGTATTCATTGTGCAGTAAATGTTCCTGTAAGAGTTTCACTATTACATTGGATGTTTCTGGATTAACATTGCTGCTGCATTAATGTCTTTGTTGCATTGTTTTTGCTGTAGATGTTTAAGGTTGAGCTCATATTAACTCCTTTATATACTTCTGGGTAGTTTAATCTACAGCAGTGCATTATATTCTATATTTCAACCTCGTGACGATGCATTTTTCAGCTGATCCACACCAGTACTGTAGTACTAGTATTCACTGGTAACTGTAGGACAAATGTAGTGGAGTTGCATAAAATGAAAATACTCAAGTAAATACAAGTACCTCAACATTGTACTTGAGCACTGCATTAGTACAGCACTTGAGTAATATACTTAGATTACACCACTGCTGATACTCATTATATGTAGTTACATTGCTGCACTCAGACCAAATGGGTTCACCAGCACATACAGATGCAGATTTCAGAGTTTTAGATGGAGGTCTTTAAGCTTCAGATAAATACCTGAAAAGTTTTCAGTCTCTTCGGTCGCGTCTGAACCTTTACTTCCCGTCTTTGTATTGTCCTTGGTTGATTGTTTGCACCTGTCCTAATGTTTGGACTTCTTACCTGTTTTGGACCATAGCCGGCCTTCACTCTCCGTAGGCTTGTTCCCAGTAAGTTTTAATGTATTATAGGCGCTCTTAGACCAACCCGTTCTCAATCCCTGATTCGTCACATGTGGACGCAAGGTCAAGACCCATAAAGTGTCAGTTTGCAATGCCCAGGGGATCCCTTTAGCGTCATAGTTCAACGCAGTGGGGGAAGTCCTGTAGCGTAAAAAGGTAGGTATATGATGTTTAACAGAAAAGAGTAAGGAGGTGGTTAAGGTGTTAAAAGGGGCCTTGACCAGCATCAATATGTGACGAGTTGGGAGTGAGAATATGTTGCTCAGACACTACCTTTGAGTTTGAATAATGTGTGTGTGTGTGTATGTGTCTCACCATGTGACATGTGGTCGTGGCGAGCCGAAGGATTCACAGTGCAGCTTGATGTCTTTGCCCTCAGTGACTCTGTACACCACTCCATCAGAGGACAGGATCTGAGGAGGAAGCTCTGAGAGACACAGAGGACAGAAATAAACACAGTTACTAATCCATCCCATGTTATGAGAACAAGCAGCTCTCTTCTAACAGGCTGAGGGGAAAGTGACGTTGCAGCGTACCAACGACATGGAGGTAGGTGTTGAGGAGGATGGAGCCGTGTTTGTTGGTGGCCTCACACTGATACACAGCGGTGTCAGCGTACTCGACGTCCTTCAGTATCAACACACCACCCGATACACTCCGACGGGGATCGTCGTCCACCTCTACACAGCGGGGGAGGAGAAGAGCGGTGAGAAAGAAGACGGAGCAGGCGAAGAGGTTAAAAATAGAGCATTACTGTGAGTTTGTCAAACAGAAACTCTTTGCAGGCTGCATACAAAGAACTGTTTGACCAAGAAGCTGTCGTCCAACGGACGAAGCAGCAGCTGTTTCAGGCTCCTCGTCTCTCTGTTCCTCTGTTTCCTGTCTCATTTCAGCAGCTGTGGTTCTCAGTTTTTAAATTTTGTTCCAACTCCTGTTTGTGTTTTTAGCATAGGTGTAATTCTAATGTAGCCAAAGTGTTTTTGTTCATTCTCTTTCTTTCTTTTCATTTCCTTCCTTTGTTCCTGTCTATTACTCTTCTTTACTATCTTACTTTCTTTCTTTCTACCACCCTTCATCTCTTTTTCCTTTTTTCCTCCTTATTATCTTTCCTTCCTTCCTCTCTTTCTCCCTTGCTTCCTTTTCCCTTCTTTCTTTCCATTCTTCCTTCTTTCCTTTCTCTGTCTCGTTCTTTCTTTTTATTTCTGTCTTCCTTGTCTTCTCTTTCTCCCTTCCTTCCTTCTTACCATCCATTTCTTCCTTTCTTCCTCCTCCCTCTTTTTCTCCCTCTCTTCCTGCCTTCTCTTCCTTGCTTCTTTGATTTCCTTTCACCCAACCATCCTCTCTTCGTTCCTTTCTTCCTTCTTTCTTCCTCCCTTTCTTTCCTCCTTCCTTCCTGTAGGTTCTTTCAGTCAGTCAGATGAGGATCTTGGTGAGTCCATCTCAACAAAAGTACCCTGTCTAATTCATCTAAGCAAAAGAGGCTCTCTGTTGTAGTGGACAGAGTGGAGCCAGGAAATGATCGTTGAAATCTCTCTGGTCATCAAGCTTTGTGTGATATAAAGTCAGACTTTAAGTGAACCATAAGAAAAGTTGATCATGAAAAGTGCTGATCACTGGACTTAATTTGGCATCAGAGTCAGAAAGGGCAGAGAACTTTACCACAGAACAGTTTAAGTCATTTGCAGGTAGAGGTAGAGCAGGAAAATACATTTTGTCTCAAAGGCTGTTTGTTCTGTTTGTTTGGCATTTTTCACATGTACATTTTAAGCTATAGTTTTAAACAGTACTTCAGTATAAGCTCATCAAGTACTTGACTGTTTTCTTCAGGAATAGAAGTAAAAATAACACAAGCAGACTGGACAACAAATAAACACATAAAAAAAGAAAGCCGTACCTGCGACTGGCTCCCCATTGATGCTCCAGGTGATGTTGGGCTTCGGGATCCCTTCAGCCTGACAGTCCAGTCGCACAGTTTCCCCGGGAGAGTACAGCAGGTTCTGAGGCTGCTTCAGCCAGTAGGGAGCCGCTACAAACACACAACAAACCACTCTAATTTACTGCTGCTGCTACAGACCTGTTGATGTAACAGTTCAATTATAAAATCCCCTTATCATTTAAAAGAAAACTGAGGCAAAGACATGAACTTAAACCAATCATCCGCATTACATCTTTTACTGATGCAGTACAGAACAACACAGCGTGAGGAAAAATACCTATGAAACAATTAAACAAGAACAGAGACGGATAAAGAAGGTGAAAATAATAGCACAAAATTAAAGATACACATTTGTAATAGCACAACAAAATCTCTAAATTACAGAACAACTCACTGCTGATGTTGGAAAGTTAACGGTGAGTTTGAGCCAATGTGTGAAGGTTTTTTAACATTATTTAATCATTTTTGGGGGGAGCTGTCAGCGTACATACATGTGGGAGCCTTTAACATCAGAGAAATAACCCTGATGATGTCATCGGGGTCATCTCAGAAAGGAGGGGCTACACATTTATAACAAAACGCCTGTATTGTGGACTTGGGGCATTGCGTTTAATAGACATGGCAATTTACCAAGCACTGAGGGTCTAATAAAAAAAGCTATTATGTTGCATTATGGGAAATGTAGGTTCCAAAGGCGCTTCACCTACTTTTAGTTCAGCCAGACAACTCACGGGAAATGTCTATTACAGCAGAACATACAGTTTGGTGCTTAGGCTCCAACGTCTTTTCTCTCCGCAGATATGTTTACATGGAGATATTAGGATACAGATGAGGACAAATATTAAAACCAAGATACCAAAAAAAAATTCAAGATATCTATCCCACAACTAAAAAAAAAATGCAACACTTCATTTAAAGTACCGCTTTAAAGTTGTCTGTGAAAATATTTCCCTTTGATGCTTCCTGAGGGACTTTTAGTCTGTCAAACATTTACTGGCTTTAATTTAACATGTTCAAAGTGAAGGTTAGTAAACAACCTCAGAAAGAAAAGCATCATCTTTCTGCTCTCTGCCACCAAGCACTCAAGTCTCAGAACTAACATGGCAGTGACTTTTCAACATACAGCAGCAGTCATGTACTGTTTGCTGTTGTGTGTCCAGCAGCCCACCTTCCACAGTGACAGTGAAGGAGCGTGTGGCGGACCCGTGGCTGTTCAGGGCTGTACACTCGTACTCTCCGTCATCTTCCAGGGCGATGCTTTCGAAGTGAAGCATGCGGTTGTGGCTCTCCAGTCTGCCACTTGTTTCACCCAGCGCACTGTCCTTCTTTTTCCATTCTACCTTTGGAGTGGGTCTGCAGACACAGAGATAAGAATGAAAAGAGGAACGGGAAAGGAGAGCAGAAAGAGAACGATGACAGAGTCGATCGTGGAGGGAAGGGCGATGGTGGGAGATGAATTGATTGAGAGAGATATGGAGGAAATTAGAGTTGAATGAACACAGATGATCATGTTAATGATGTAATATCCTATTTCACCATTTATTGCCATGGAGACTGAACTCTCCGGGGAAGGAGGATAATTAGAGCGAACACAAAATAGCAATGAACCAGAGGCGAGATAAAATTATTTAATTAAAAGGATTAGTATCAAACTTGTGTGTGCGTGTACGTGTGTGCGTGTGTGGGGAACCAGGATTGGTTGCTTACCTGGTGCCAGATACAAACATTAAAGATATGAAATAGCTAATTAAACATCAAACTGCTATCACCACACTCAGTAATGAACATTCAAGCTGAAGATATGAGCACATTTCTGAAATTACTTAACATGAATAACGACTGATTACAGGTCACAGGTAGCATGTAGTGTTCACTTGCTGTTTCTTAGACTTTAATTGATGCTTGGGTGCCACACCTACTGTATATTTCACTATTTTGAACTTTCACATACTCACGCATATGCTTTAATTTTATATATCCTACCTTAACACACTCTAACCAGTAGATGCATTCAAATCTGCATCTGAAATCTACATCTAATGTTGTTAAAGCAGTAAAGCCATTAAAGCAGTCTACAGTTAATGTGGGTGATTCTTTCTTTATCTATTTTCTGCAGCTTCTTCATACTGCATGAAACACTTCCCCTTTAGTTCTTTAAATTCCTGCAGCCATCTGAAGGCAGCAGGATACATGTTGATAAATCTGCAGGCTCTGACATGAGAAGTCAGAGTCATTAAGCACGACCGTCAAACAGTGTCTACTTTCATTAAACTACATGCAAATGATACAGGCATAACTCGGTGTTTAAATAGAGACGCTGGATTACCAGAGCAAATGTGGCATTTCATTTTTTTAAATTTATAATTACAGTGCAAATGCTGTTGTGTTGGATCAAGTACGATATGATTCGACCATTTATGAAATAACACTGGATTAACAGCTTTCCTCATCAAGCATTATTTTATTACTATATTTATTTCTATCATTGCTGTTCTAAATGTTAACCTGTTTAAGCCCCACCTCCATGGCTGCAGATTTACAGTTCTGTGTTTTCACATTGTGCTGTGCCATAAAGACAACAACATGAGGCCATTACCTTATGTGCTGAGCTGTTGGTGTCATGCTTCACCGTGATTGGCTCAGCTTTGTCAGAGGATGAGATGATGTGATTGGCTGAGCGTGTATTTGTTTTTCACCACACCATCTGCACTGTATTCACCTTCACCCAGACCTTTTCTGCACTTTGCGCTTGCGGCACATACATGAACCAAAACAGCAGGTGGAGATGCCCACACAGTCTGTGCGCCCGAGAGCTGCTGCTCTGCACTTGTTGCCGTGCTCATGTGATTAAAATAGTGCTCTATGTCTGTTTTCCAAAATATCAAGCAAGTGTATTATAGTTAATAAAATAATGAAACTAGGTGTGAAAAAATAAATACAAACGAGGCTTGTGAAAATGTATTGTGTGTTTTCAAATCTAACTAAAATAAACTAAAATTTAGACTAAGTATCTTTAGCTTTTGTCTTTGTCAATTAATTTAATAGGCCCTACATAAGCCTAGTATTTCAGGTGGATATGAAATCTATCTTCAAATTTCTTAGCTGTTCCTGACGAAAGCGGCCCAAAGACTAAAACTTATTTATCCTGCTAAAAAATAAACTAAAACTAAGCATTTAAAAAAAAACAAAAAACATACAAACTAGTAAAGTCACTTTAAAAATTAATTAAAACTTAACTGATGCTGTGACATATTTCTATTGTTACATTATTGAAAATGAGTGTTATTTCCCGTCACTATGACCTCAACAGGTCACATGTTAAGCTGGATATGAAATGAAGGTGGAGGAGTTAAGATAGGAAGACACAGTGTGTCAGACAGCGCACACACTTTTACACACACAAACACACACTGAGATCCTTACAGGCCCTTGGGGATGCATTCCAGGGTGAGGCTTTGTCCCCTGAGGGCCAGCACAGAGGTGTGGATGTCAGTGGGACGGAAGAAGTGGGGTTTTCTACCACGAACGACATCATTACCTGGAGTGAGAGAGAGTGGGTGAGAGAAAGAGAGAGAGAGCATATGAAATCAATACACTCTAAACAAATGAAATCATTGTGATAGTGCACATGATCTTTTCCCCCCTTGCTACAGAATCTTGTAAAATAGTGAATTTTCTTATGGATTTTAGATCAAATGGAAGGATTAATGGTTTGTTGATTGCAGTACACAGAGAGGTGTTTCTGTTATTTAGCCTAATCTCACTCACAACTTACACTGCACTGTAATTTCTACTGTCCTGTTTTATCCTATTTTATTTTCTATTTCATCTTTTTTAAATTTGTATTTTAATGTCTTTTTTTATTTCCCTATAATGCTTTTATGTTTTACGTAAAGCACTTTGATTTGCCTCGTTGCTGATATACAAATAAACTTGCCTTGTCTTCCTATTAAACCAGCACCTGAGTATGACCTCATTAGGCAGAACTGGGGAATTGTGTGATGATGTCATCAGGGTTATCTCGACTTACAGTTCTTAACAGAAAACCTACGTTTCACAGTGGAGGTGGTTTTTTTTTACAGAAGTGGGCTTTTAGTAAGGGTTGGTGGTTAGGGGTTGCATTATGGGAAATGCAAGTATGAAAGTGTGTGTATTTGTGTGCACTCACTGGGCGTGACAATGAGTCTGACCGCAGTCTCAGGGAGAATAGTCCTGGCTGCTGTGTACTGGGCATGGCAGATGTAGTCGTCTCTGCTGTCAGTCACTAGAAGATTAGAAAAGTACAAGTTCCCATCCAGGCCGACCATCACTCTGTCACTCTGCTTGATGTGCACCATCCCTGAGGTGAACGAGACACAACCAGGAAAGTTAAGGTACAACTGTAGGCGGGAGGGGGGAAAGAAATTGTAAAAGTTGTTGCAACTGGAAGACTCTGTCATGTAATATATAGTGACTGTGAGCATTGTGGTGCAAAAACACTCTTAGTATCCTAAATGTGCACCAGTGAAACAAAAGCTTTGCTTATGTTTGTGTTTATGGCATCAAGTTGGAGGAACTTAGTGCACTGCTGTATTGACTTTCTCATTCAAGTTAAACAAAACTGACAACTCGAAAGGCACTACTTCATTAGACAGGTAGAGAGAGAGAGAGAGAAAGAGAGAAGGTAGGACAAGAAAAGGAAAATATAAAGAGCCCAGAAAAATCAGCTGACAGTACTGCATTCATTAGTTTGAGTGGAAATGCTCTGCAATGCAGCGTAGCGATGCAAATCCCTCCAACACGGCCCTCAGCTGGAATGACAGATGCGGAGTAACTCCCACAAAGCTGCTCAGATTTTAGAGACTTACAGAGACAGACAAGCAGTAAAACAGGAAGACTGGACAGCCAATATACACAAAGTGTCCGCCTGTCTGTCACACGGAATGGCAGCTAATACACTGGACAGAAAACATGAAGCCAAAATGAAAAACAGACTCACTCTTGTCCATCCAGTGGATGAGTGGAGGAGTGGAGCTTTCTGGAGGGTTGCAGGACAGGATGATGCTGTCTCCCTCTGAAGCTCTTTTATGTATTTTTTGTTGTTTTAGAAGAACTGGTTGAGCTGAAACACAAAGAAACAGATTATTAGTTAAGAACTTTATATACTTCAACATACATCATCAACATGTTTCTGATGAGATGTTATACTGTCCCACTCTTCCTGTTGATTCAGTAAAGAAAGACAGAAAAGTCTGGATTACATTCTGCTCTTTAAATAACAGTGCTATCTATTATCTCTCTGTCACATTTGCAGTATTTTCTTTTGTTCAGGAGCTAAATAATGCAACAAGATGCTGCAGCAAGCTTGCAGTCAGTCAGTGTTCCTGTCCTCACAGTTTTTTGTTTCAATTTTAGCAGAGGTTGTTACCATTAAACTGACTTTACCAACAATGGCAAGATTTCTCATAATCAAAAGGGGAATGAAATGAGAGATGCATAGAAAACACAGCTTATTTACATCGTTATGTGACTGTTCACCCTTTGTTATTTCACATCCTGATGGTTATTGTGCTTTAAAGCAGATTTGTTGATATGGCAAACTAGCATACAGTTTCATATTTACAAATCCAGCAGACTCTCTTTTAGATCTGATTTGGTCTCTACCAGCTCCTGAGAGAAATATCTGGCTCTTTATCTTCTAAATGCTTCACTATGTTCACCAGCTGGTTTCTAACTTTCTGTCTGCTGTTTTCGTAGCACACATTTGGTTTATCAGAGATTTTTTAATGTAAGCAGCAGCCTGCTCCGGCTGGATAACTAAAATAATAATTTTCCATCGGTAATATAAAGATCAGTTCGGCTGTAAAGTAATCTGTCTAAATATATTATGCGTTCACAAGTGGGAAGCCAGTGAGGGATCTTCTGCACTACAAACCTCTGGAAAAACATTTTTAGTACACGGTGATTGTAAATGTTTCCAGCAACAGCAATGGCAGTTCGCAAAATAGCAGCAATAACCATAATCACAAAATTTCCTGCTTGTGCATACATTTCAAACAATTTAGCAATAAACAAACTATGATTGAAATTGCTTTTTATGCTTTCTGTCCTAATGGTAGTATAACAAAAAATATATGCTGATACTATTTAAAATACTGTACTATAAATACAACAAAACTATAATCACATTTAGTTTCCTTCCTAATACTTTATGATGAATAAAAAAGTTTTGTGTCCTCTGAATGACAAAATAGGTTGTATGTCAATGCCTCCCAAAACGACACAGATGAGTATTTCCTGTACCAGTCCAGCAACAGGTGACCGGACCGTAACTACATTATATGAGTCATGTTAACCTCCCACGGTTAATGTTGAAATGGTTGCAGTTTGGTTAGGTTTAGGAAAACATTGTGGTTTGGGTTAAAGTAAGTACACTGCATAAGTCAGGTGACACAAATCTCATGACTTAAGTCACTTAAATCACGTGACTTCACTCACGGGACAAAAGTCAGTAATGCTCTTTAAATTAAAACTCATTTAGGCCTACTCGGCTTCACATGAGTCTCCTGTGTGAAAGCCCTGGGTCTGACCCATCTCGGCATTTATAATACATCACCTGACTTCCGTCTTAGCTCTGTCAAAAAGCCACTAGTGGTCACAGGCCCATTAAAAGTAAATATGCAGTAAATTAACATCTTTCAACAAACAACCTATATTGTTGTTTTACTGGGGAGGACAGGCTGTTTTAGGACAATATTGTGATTAACAAAATAGATGTCAAAAACATGGAGATGGAGAGATGAAGCTACTTTTTCAGCCCTGAATCCTGAGTAGTGCAAACAGCTTCCTTCCCATTTTGTCTACAGCCCCAACAACCTCCACCATTAAAGAGGTAGCCAGTATAATGCCTGAGAGGTTAAATCCAGGGCAAAGGAAGTCTGGTAAAGAGTCTGTTTTTTTTCTGTGAGCGCACAGTGATAACTAAAGGAGACTCAGATGGGCATATCAACATTTTTTAACGAAGTATTCCCGCTGGACGTTATGCCGCTGTAAATGCAGTCGATACGTCCCATCTTTTTTTTTTTTATGCTCAGGTTAGGTGACACAATAATTTCCCAGCACCATCTCCTGCTCAATAACCTCATGCACCCTCCCGGCCGAGTGACGTCACTGCTCTGTCTCCAGGAAATGGTTGCCACAGTAACAAGAGATGAGAGAGCAGAACAGGTGGCCCGAGTCAACCTCACTGAGTCATTCAAATGTGTGTGTGTTTGTGTGTGGAGGATAGATAGACAGAGAGGGATTTGTGCCTTACTGTACATCATACATCACATTTCATTCATGTAACTGTGAACTGTCTATGAATCAGCACGAGTGAAGATCACTTTAGATATACAGTACTCTGTGTGTTTGTGTGTATACAGTATGTGTGTGTGTGTGTGTGTGCGAGAGACTCACGCTCCACTATGACCTGTATGGTTTGTGTCATGGCGGTCCCCAGGATGTTGGAGGCGTAGCAGCGGTAGTAGCCTTCATACGTTTCGAGGGGCTCATCGTCTTCGGCTCGCAACGTCCCGGATTCTTTACGCTCCACCCCGAACGGCTCCCCGTCCTTCACCCAGCGGAAACTACAGAGAAAAAGGGGACGATACCTTAGTTTTCATGGCAAAAAAAACAAAGCAATACATGTGTAGACTTGGTGACGTGTGGCACTGAAAAAGGAAGCACTTAATATTCTATATTTTTCTTAGCGTCAACAAACTCCATGAAAAAGACCACAACCGACAATGTGTTAGTCTGTCTCTCAGTACTTTCTGACTTCCTGTCTATGGCTCTCAGATCCAAGCTCATTGGTTCCTGCAGAAGACCTAAATATTAACAAAAACTCACAAATATATTGTTTTGTAGTTTTAATCAAACAAATTGGAGGAAATGAGACTGTGGGCCTCCCCTCAGAAAAAGCTTGGTATAAGCTGCCCCTCCCTTAGTTTACTTATATGATCATATAGACAGACATAATCAAGCCAGGACAACCTATTATTGATGTTTGACCACGCAGACAACACCAAATACATAATGAAGGCCTGTCTTATAGCATTTATCAAAATCTGGGAATGTGGGAAAAACTGTAAAATACCCCAAAAGTACGATATCTATTTAACCAAATCACTCACATTTAGGCTATTGTACATCTCCTTTTGATAATTAATGTAAGATTTTTTCACACGAAACAGTTTGGAGACCCCTAAACTAATAAGCTTAAATTTGGGAAAGAGAAAAGCAGGGCATGAGGTGAGAGGATAGAGGAGAAGAGAGAGTGAGCAGGGAGGAGTGGGAGAGAAGGAGGGAGGGAGGGAAATACAAAGGAAAAATGGAGAGATGATTTGGTTATTGCTGTGATTTTATTAGAAGAACATTTATCGCCATGCCAACAGAAAGACCGGAGGGAGGAAGTGGACAAACAGTTTTTTCCATTATATTTATCAACTCTGTTTTATATATATATATACACCCAGAAACGCACACACACACACACACACACACACACACACGGTAAATGACACACAGGTCTAGCTGCTGTACGTACATGGGTCTCGGGTTACCAGTGGCCTCACAGGGCAGATTGATGTCCTCTCGAGAAAAGGCTGTGGAGGATATCGGCATCTCCGTCAGCACCGGAGGCTCTGACACTGACACACACACACACACACACACACACACACACACACACACACACACACACAGTAATGAAATACTTGTTGGATGTACAGATATATGTGCAGTAATTAATACAGAGTTTAGGCAAGAAAATACAGGAGTACATTCTCCTATATTTGGAGACATCCATGATCTACAGGGGTGATGTGCCACCACAGCCCTGTCAGGTGAGCTCAAGTACTCCTTCATCAGCACCACCTGTCATGTTCCAAATATTAAACACTATTAGTTTGCATTTATATTAATACTATTTGGAGTGACAGAAGCATAGTGTTACAACCATTTATCAAACACTTTTAGTGAACTAATTAAACTGTTTATGCATTATTGTTGACTATTTATTTCAACCATTCAATGATATATTTTAGCTAAACCGTTTATCCTTTATCATCCAGGTCACCTGTTTATTCATTATTTTTAGCTAATGCTTAAAAATTTTAACCTTCAAACCTTTTTGGAACTTCTTTAACCATTTAAATAATTTCACCTTTTAATTTTAGAAAGTATTATGACAATTTGTCCGTTACGCTTAGCTCACTGTTTAGTTTCAGTAACTTTTTGTGCATCCATTATTTTTAACTAGCTAGTTAAGAATTAACTGAGACTAGGCTACCTGAAGTAACCAGCTGTAAGTCTGAGCTTGATTTGTCATGACTAGTTTTCTCCATCTCTTGAACTTTGCTGGGTTTATTAGACGGTTGTAAGGGAGGCTAAAAAATGCATAGCAAATGTTTAATTTCATAATAACAAGTTGTTCAAAGTGTATAAAAACTGTTGCAGCTAGCTTGCAGTCTGCAGCTTGTTAAAGCAATAACTCAACACTGTGGGAAAGTTATCATTTTCATCTGATTCACTTTCTTGCCAAGATTTAGATGAGAAGATTGATACCACTCTCACGTCTGCCTGCCTTCCATTCAATTTGAAGCCAGGGGCCAGCAGTTTAGCTTGACCACATGACCTCCTGAAAAAGCAGAACTTTTTGTTTTAACTTATCGATTCGTGTACAGATTAAACAAATAAATTAAGACTTGTTACGTTATGAGCTTTAGAGATCCTGGTAGGAGTTAAGGAGCTAAATGATTCCCCCGTTCCCAGTCTGTATGCTAAGCTAAGCTAACTGGTCTAGCCCTAGCTTCATATTTAGTATACAGATATTAGAAAGGTATTAATCTTCTCATCTAATTCTCTGCAAGAAAGCACATACGTATATTTCCCAAAATGTCAAATTCTTCCTTTAATTTGTGGGTTAAATGAATATTTCATTAAACCCATCATGAAATTTTAAATGGAAAAACAAAAAAATGCACGAGATCAGCACTTAAATAAGATCCTTTTTAATTTTGGAGAAGTAGGCATTTTGGAGAAATGTCATTATTTCATTTTGACATCAGTGACTTATTTTTAACTTGGATGGTCTACCTGTCTGTGTGGGCAGAGACAACCTCTGCCGTGAGTGTCTAAACTTTGAGACGCTGCAGCTATTTTCTGCAAAAGTTTCCCATCTGACACATAAAATCAAGAAATGTGTTGGTGTACCGGTCTTCACTGTCTGCTCTGTGTGACTTCAGGGCAGCAGGGGCGGATGATGGAGGACAAACAGTCAGCGATAACAGCAGAAACAATAGGACAAAGTGACACGAGCGGTCGAGAGCCATCGCACACTTCTTCATTGTCACAACAAGGAAAGTCACTTACTGTTTTGCCCTTTATCTGTTTGTCCGCACGAAAGCAAGGAAAAGAAAGCAGAAAGGAAATTTTAGACAAAGGCAAATGTTTTAAATGCTGTAGACGCACACACACAGATATGAGTTAAAGATGCTGATGTTGATGAGAGATTTTAAACAGAGATTGATCAGAGCTGGAGCATATTTAGTCACTGACTTGATTATAAACAACGCTGACATTATAATGACTCGGTTTCCTGTCTCAGACATGCTGGCGTCCCTGATCAATTTACATCTTTCCAGTCTGTGTCTCCTTCCCTACCCTTCCCTCCCTCTATCTTTCTCCTCTTTACTCTGTCTTCACCTTCCTTGTTCCCTCTCTTCAGCGCTCCCAGTCTTTCATTTCCATCCTCATCTACTCTGGATCTTCTTCTCTCTGCCACACCCAGAGGTCACTGGCTGAAGGTCACCCTGAACCCGATTCCTCCTCTCGTCCCCTCCTTCCTCTCCTCTGGGGACCATCGTAGCAAAACCTGCTGACCTTTGAACTTAACCTCAGGGACCAGAGGTCAATCTAAACCTGATTGAGTGGGTAAGTGTGTTTGTGCTTGCGCTTATGTGAATGTGTTTAAATGTTAAGTTTCTCTTTGTTAAAAACAGGTGCAAACATTTTGTCTTTGTGTGTTTTTAAGATTTGTCACAAGGCTATTTCAAACAAAGACCAGAGCAAACAGACAAATGAACCAGACAAGAAAAGGATATGTAAGAAGAAAAAAGAAGTAAGACCAAAAGTCATTTCCTGTTTACTTTCATTTTAGCGAGTTATGAAAAGAACCTTGTTGACACTTTCTTGTCATGTCTGCCCCGGCGACAGAATGTACTTGATTAAACAGCATCACAATCATCATGTTTGGTGTGACCAACAAAAATGCAAGCATCAAAGAGCTCTCGTTTTGAAGCAAGGACATTCTGCCCGATTGGTACTGTGCAACTCTCAGCAGAGGTGAGAAGGAACTGAAATGACTCATTTGTTAACTTTGTACATCATCAGCTAGAGAAAAAACAACATACATAAATCTGACATATGACAAAATATGTGAACTCTATACAGTGAATACGCTTGTCTCACGCATCTGTGCTATGAGGTAAAAACATAAGTCACCAAAATCATATACACTCATCAGACTGCATCCAGAAGACATTGAAACTTGTTTAAAAAAACAGTCCTAATAAATGACATTCTGAATTAAACGCTTTGTTTTTTCTGGAGCTGATGATGAGGCAGCTAACGAGTGAGCCACCTCGCTTCCTTCTGATGTTTTTTGAGAGTTGCACATGCACATCACGACCTTCTTTGGTGACAGCAAAGGTGCTCAGCACAGCGAGCCCGTGACCCCGAAGACGACATGATAATAACGGTAAGTGTTAGCGAAAGCGTAAAAGCAAAATCAAATCAAACTATACATTTACCAGCAGGTACATTGATTTGTTGCTAGTTTGTTTGTGACTTTTAGCAAGCATTTCGTTACCTGATTGCCAGAACTTGCTAACATTAGTCTCTCTCTGTCTTGTGGCCCTGGTGCCCTGGCATGTGGTTTTGCCCCTCAAATTATGAAATTCCAGGCCTGCATGTGGTCTACTTTTATTTTTCTCACAAATATCTTGTGTGTGATAATGTATGCAGACTTTTAAAAGCAGTCAGCGCTTTCAAACTGCACTCCAAGTTGATTTTAACACAAAGCTGAAATGAATAGAAAACAGTGAACGGGGGAACGCACTTCACATCTCTTTATTAACAATGAGGGATGTTTACGGTGGAGGAGTACTCACAGTTTGGGGGGATGTGAATGGCTCCCTTAGCAAGAAGAGGCATGGACGAGAGGAAGGACAGAGGGAGGAGGAGGATCAGGGGGAGGGCGGGGGAGCATGGCCCCCTATAGCCCGTCCACCGACGCTGTGACACACACATCTTTCAATGTCCCATGAAAAGTGACGCAAGACACCCACACACTCATCAACACATAAAAAAAACGCACACCCTCCTTATGCACCCAACCAGACACACACTCCAGGGACCGGCCAGACCCTCTGGAGAAAGGTGACGAGTAAACAACAGCGTTTTAAGTTGTGTGTGTGTTGCTTTCACAGCCCAAAGTGAAGCTCTGAATGATGCGATCCCTTCTCCGGCTGTGGAGGGAGAGAAAGGGAAGAAGAGGGGAGAGGAGGAGGGAGGATTGACCCCGAGAACAAAGGAGGGATAAGGAGGGGAGGAAGGGAGGGCGCACAAGACAGGGGGAGAGAGAGAGAGAGAGAGAGAAAAAGACATCATTAATTTCATCAAACATAAGTCATCCCAGAACAAGACAAATATTAATCTATTCCAAAGGAGAGATTTTAATTAATTTGACCTACAAATAAAAAATGCACAATTAACTCCAGGGCATGTGAGTGTGTGCGATGTTGAACATTAATCTTAATATTTAAACACAGTTTGGAATCGAAATATTTCTGTAATACACAAATATTTCAGACAGTGGATGCCTGTGTGTGTGTGTGTGTGTGAAAGACGAAGGCATTAGGTCACCCTGATAAAGACAGAAGATCAGATCAAAGCAGCAGGAAACATCATCTCAGCTAATGACATTACAAAGAGAGATTGTGTGTGTGTGTGTGTGTTTAGTCACATCGACCGCTTTTCCATTCATCTAAACATCTTCTCTTTTGTCCCTGGCTGCTGACTGAACATTGACCCGTGACAGCAGGAGTGTCGGGGCTGGGGGTGAAAGCAGACACAGATGGATCAGGCTTTCCCCCTTTGTTCCTTCATATCGCCGTCTCGCCATGCAGGGCCAAAACCTCACAACTCCAAGTTTGGTCATTTTCTTGTTTTTACTTGAAGTGGGGGATTACACGCCCCTCCGTGGGTTGATTTTAAAGCTTGCAAAATCCTTTCAGAATCCGCACCATTCACTCCTAAAAACAACTGACTGGCACTTCAAAGCCCTTGATGTCAGGCTGAGGCTCCATTTATGGGAATACGTACATGAAATTAAACAAGAATGAAATAAAGTCAAGGAGATCCCTCTGATGAACGAACTGGCACAGACGGAGTCTACAAATTCAAAACAGAGTTCCTTATCTTTTTCTTACCTCCAAGAAATTACGTTTATTTACTGCAAACTTTCTTTGCCAGTCACATTTTGCACTTGGTGCAAATGGGGAATTTTATTTTGTTCCCTTGCAATGTTTTTTTCTAGTAAAGGATGTGCTGCTTGTCAGCTAGTGTTAGTTGTGGAGAGGTGTTAAGGGTGGATAGTTGGCGTATAAAGTGCAGGAAAATGCAAAAATGTAGAGTAACAGTAGCACAGAGTCAGGAAACTGACTCATCTATCAACTACATAAAGTAAGCTAATATTAGCAACCATACTGGCCACACAGGACCAAGTAAGGCTGTACAGCAGCAATACCTGTACCGGAGTGTCCTGAACTGAGCCAGGGTTCATTTCAGTTCTCATGAATTCAACTTTTTGTTTACAAGAAGAAGAATGCGAAAGGTTTCAATAAATGTCAACAAAGTAAACAAGTCCTGTCTCGTGCCTTAAGTCAGGTTTGACTTTTTAAGTATTCAACAAGACTACTTTCCCTAACCTTAAGTGTTCTGAGTGCCTAAACATATGTCTGCTCTGTGTGACCTCTGACCATCTGACTTCTGCAGCTCATCCAGAATGCAGCAGCCCGGCCGGTCTTCAACCTTCAACCATGTTCGCCACACTTAACAGCTTCTCCACACCCTGCACTGGCCACCGATGCTCCAATCAGATTCCAGTCACTGGTACTTCCTTGCTGTGCTTTGAATGGCTCTGGCCCAAATACATCCAGGACAAGGTAACATCATACTAGTCCATCTATTACTGCCAATCGGCTTGCTACTTTCTCCCTATGAGGGTGGCCCAGCTACTGCTTAACAAAAGCACGACTATTTGCCGTCCTGGCTCCACAATGGTGAAACAAGCTCTTCACTAACATCAGGGCAGCAGAAAACCTCCACATCTTTGGTAGCAGACTGAAAACTAATCTGCTCCAACTGCACCGTGGCCCATAAAAAACTTGTTTCTAAATGTAGCACCGCAAGCAATTCAGCATGTCTGATTAAGTTTTTCGGTTGTATCCACATGGGTGAAATCCACTTATTGTAAGTCGCTTTGGATAAAGGTGTCAGCTAAGGAAAAATAATGTAGGAATTTCCGCCGGCCCGGTTCAAACTGGTCGGACTGCACTGACACCAGTCTGACACGCTGGTTACTCAGAAAGAAGAACAGACAACAAGGGCAGAGGAGGTTACAGAAGGTGTCATAACTTATCAATCTCTGAATGTAACCGCCTGCAGTCCTTCTGCCTTAAAACACACACACACACACACACACACACACACACACACTAGGGGTGAGGGGCAAAGAGTGACAGCTGGCTAATGTAGACCCCCGCCTACATCTCATAATTACGCAACCTGTCCCCAGCACACGTCTCTCTATTTCACTTTCTCTCTCTCTCTTTCTCTAGCACACACTCACACACAGATAGACAGGAAACATACATGACCCCCATTTCAGCTCCTATTGTTACCAGGTCCTCACCAATCCAGTCTGCTGTTGTTGTCAATTATGATTCCTGACTCGCACACACACACACATCTGCACTGCTTCATGGTCACTTAATCACACACACACACACACACACCTGCCCCAGGCTCTTGGGGCTGCTGTTACCTGCCAGGCTTATTTACAAAATAAATGACCCAAACAGAACAGTGGGATATAAAGTGTGTGTGTGTGTGTGTGTGTGTGTGTGTGTGTGTGTGTGTGTGTGTGTGTGTGTGTGTGTGTGTGTGTGTGTGTGTTGGGCATTAACGAGGGGAAGATAACGACCAGCAGTAGGGGTTCCCCAGATGTAATGGGGGCAGACAGAAAACGTAACAGACATACAGAAAATAAATGATGGGTGGTGATGGAAATGTCCCGGCATGCTCCAGTTCCAGTAATAATATGGTGACAGTAAACACACCGATTCTGGTTTATGGTTTTAATTCATGCAGACTTCCTTTAATTTAAATATTAATGGAGGTCCTGCTGTGGCGCTGAGTTAAGGAGGGGGGAGGGCTCATTAATGTATTAAGTCTTAATCTAAAGATGCATGATGGCAGATTGTCTCCTTTTCACACATGGAGTGTAGCTGAGTCTTTATTGAGGTTGCAGCTTAGAGATACTTGACCTCTCCTGACAGAGAATCCTCTCACTGCGCACGCTGGCATCACAGCGCCAATGTTAGTGTCCCCGGCGCATGATGGCCTCTTGAATTCAATCAGACATGGATCCATTAGAAGAGGAAAGTCCATTTAGCATTTAGAGATGAATAAAGTGCAGCCTCACACACATGCATGGTAGAGATATTTAACAATACTGTACACATATTAAAGGTTCATGTTTTAACCCTTGTGTTCAATTGACAATGACTTTATTTACGCATTGTTTGTCCCATGTACACACCACAATGCTGCATGTCTAAACATCATAATAATAGCTGTAGAGCTGAGTTGATTAATCGATCCACAGAAAGTTCACTGGCAACAATTTTGATAATGGATTAATTGTTGAAGTATCAAAAGTTAAAAACAATGATTGCATTGAAAAGCATGTTTGCAAAATGACAACCTTTCTCCGGTTCCAGCTTCTCAAATGCAAGTTTTTAACTTTTCATCGGACAGAAGATTTTTTAAAGAAGTCACCTTGGACTGAACTTTCTTAGATCAAACAATAAATCTATTAATGGAGAAAATAACTTGCAGGACAACTGATAATAAAAATAATCAGAATCAGAATCAGAATCAGAAGAAGCTTTATTGCCAAGTAGTGTTTTACACATATGAGGAATTTGCTGTGGTGATAAGGTGCTACACGTAGACAAACATACAGTCAACATAAATAAATGTAGAAAAATATAAATTTGGAATGGAAGAACAAGGTTGTAGATAATCATTTATAGACGGTCACTATTGTTACAGGATGATGTTTAATGCTTTATGTCACAACAGACCTAAACCTAAACCCTGAACTTACTGACGTGAGCAAGAGTGACTTTTACTTCTCATGAATACAAATTTTCATTTTTAAGAACAGAGTCTTATGTCTTCTTTCAAAAGTAACATAGGGGAAAAACAGCAAAATTAACTTTTATTTTGCTTTAAATGTTTTTCAACTGCAGAATATTATCCTATGTAGTCATATTACTCATAATATAAAACACAAATCAGTTAGTCAGTTAAACCACAGAGAAGTTTACCTCAAATGCTTTTTGATTTGAAACAGATTTGGTATTTGGGAGGTGTAGTGCTGTCATTACCAACCATTGTCATACTGTAGAGCATTAATATTTTAAAGCAGCTCCAAACAGAATATCTCATTTTCTCCAGCAGACCTCTGAAAAATGTTGTATGTCAATGTTTATAAGCAAATTAGGAAAAGTCATGAAGTTTCAAGCTGATGAATCGGCGCTATTAAAGACAGCCAGTGGTCTCCAGGACCCCAAACAGTTTCGACCCCGCAGGCAGCCATATTTCCGTTCTGTACCACTTAACATTAAACATACTGTACCAACCCCTACCCCCCACTCCAGAGTCCTGAGCTGTCCCACAGAACCTGAGGGCTTTGGAGGGCGGGCAGGTGGACCAGCCAGTCCACTGGGAGGCCAGTGGGGAGGTGTGGGAGGAGGGGAGGCAGAGCGGGTGCAGGTGGGACAGTCTATTGGGAGGCCTGAGGCGGGACGGGGGATCAGGGGGGCGGAGACCTCAAAGTGAGGGTGGGGGGTGGGGGTGCAGGTAGACGGATAGTGCGCGACAGAGCGAGAAATTAATTCATTGATAGATTCCGATCTGCAGGAAAGAATTGGGAAGTGTGGATGGGGAGATTAAGCAAAGGCAAGGAGGAGAGGGAGGATATACTTCCCCCCCAGCGCACACGCAGATTCACACACAATGGGACACATGAAGATGAAGAAAGAAAGAGCTATTTCCAGTTTGTCCCTCCCAGTTGGCTGTGTGACCTAAATTCACCTAAATTCATTATTCATTATATACCTCACATTTAGTACTCCACACACACACACACACACACACATGCACATAAATGCTGACC